TTTAGGGGTGTAGGGTTTAGGGGATTGGGGGGTTAGCGTTTAAGGGTTGAGGGGTTAAGGGTTTAGGGTTTAGGGTTTTAGGGTTTTGGGGTTTAGGCCTTTAGGGGTTTAGGGTTTTAGGGTTGAGGGTTTAGGGTGGGGTTTATCTTGCAAGCGCGCACTTCACTGGATTTCTGAGTGCACTAGCAAGCCGTACGGTGCAGTGATGTTCTTTCGAAGGGTTTTGCCACTTGCTGTCTTTGACCTACTCCGTCTCGCCAAATATCGGCGCCTTAGTCATCAGAATAGGGTTTTTTGGGGTACATTATGCTAGAATCATAGTGGTAACGACTGTAAGGGCGGACCACAGAATCACGCTTTATCTGAAAGATACACGGACTGCCTCAGAGTCCTTGAATTACTTCCCTCTATCAGCCCCTAAACCCTAAGCCTTTGCTCCATTAGCCGGAGTCTCGAACCGACCGAACAAACGGCACGCCCAAAATGCTGGAACCCTGCAACAGAAAACAAACCGAGAAAGTCCTGAAACATAAGACAACCCTGAACCCGACCCCAATCTGCAAACCCTAAAGCAAACATTTCAAATAAAACCCTATAGCCCCAATACTCTAACATCTGCAAGCCCTGGGCCCAGCAACACCTCCAGCAGCACGTTGGCTTTGGAGTCCGATGCAGAACTCGGTCTCAGAGACGCCTGCATTGCTGCCATCAAATGCAAGCAAGTAATCAAAAAAAACGCGAGCCCACTTATAGCTCTGTGAGTCGGTAATTGCCTAAAGCCCTAAACCCTAAAGCCTGGGGTTTAGGGTTTAGGGTTTAGGGTTTAGGGTTTAGGGTTTAGGGTTTAGCCCTAAACCGAACCCCCAAGTCTGTCATCCGCCCATCCAGCGCTGCAGCGCCTTGCTGAGCGAAGCATTGGGAGCTGGTCTCAAAGGCACCTGAAGAGGGCTTAGGGTGTATAGGGTTTATAGGGTTTAGCGTTTTAGGGTTTAGGATTTAGGGTCTTAGGCTTTGGGGTTTAGGGCTTTAGGGTTTGTAGGGTTTGGGGTTTAGGGGTTTAGGGGTTTAGGGTTTTACGGTTTAGGGTTTAGGGTTTAGGGCTTTAGGCTTTAGGGCTTAGGGTTGCAGGGGGGGTTTACACCCCTGATCGAAGTACTAAGGCCCCCATATTAGACTACTCTCTCAAAAGTTTCCATTTATTTATTACCCCAAAAAGCCCCTATTCTAACTGCTAAGGCCCCAAATTTAAAATACTCGCTCAGGGTTCCATGTATTCATTACCCCCCAAAACCCTATTCAACTCGCTAAGTTCCTTTTATTTATTACCCCCGAAAGCCCTATTCAACTTGCTAAGTTCCTTTACCCCCAAAACCCCCTATTCAACTTGCTAAGTTCCTTTTATTCATTACCCCCAAAAGCCCTATTCTAGTTGCTAAGGCCCCCATATTAGAATCTCAGGGCTCCTTTTATTTGTTACCCCAAAAGCCCTATTCTAGTTGCTATAGGGTTCAGGGCTTGCGGTTTAGGAGGCCCCATGAACGCCGGCACCCTAAACTTCCGAGAAAACCCTGAATATCTAAAACTGAACAACAATGAAGTAAGACCTAAACCCCAAAGCGTGAGGACTTTTGGGCTACTCAAAGTGTCCGGCGGCTGAGAAGGTTGCGCAAGGTAAGAATGGCTTAGGGCTCAGGGCTTATGTGACTGAGACTCAGGGCTGTGGCCATGATTTTCATATTATATTATATATATATATATATACATATATATAAACACAATAAACATACATATACACACTTATGTATTTATTCATGTTTATATCTGTATATATATATATATGTAAATGTATATTATACAACCCCTCGCTGACGTGCAACCGCACAGAGCACAAACACTGCAATGACCGGAAAGTTCCGCGATGAGATAGACCTCATCGGTCACCCTACAGACAAGAAGGCACACTGTGATTCTTTGCGTTTGTAGAGCTCCAGGGAAAGAAGGCGTTCGGGCTTGGGTTGTAAGTGTTAGGACGGTTAGGGCTTCCCGAAACCGTAAGCCTTAAACCCCAAAGCCTCAACCCACTCTGCACCGCAAAGCATAAACCCTAAACCCAAAGCCATAAACCCTAAACACTAACATAAGCCCTGCAGCAGCAGAAAGCCCAAGCCCTAAACCCTAACCCAAAGTCCCTGAGCCCCAAACCCTGAGCTCAAGATTTCGAGCCTTGGCAGCTGGAATCACCACTGCCGTGTCACTCGGTAGCGGAACAGAGGTCCAGAGCCTCGCTAGTGGAGCGGGGGGTGTATAGGATGTTCCCTAAACCCTAAACCCTAAACCCTAAACCCTAAACCCTAAACCTTAAAGAATCAAAAGGAGGTCCATAAGGATCTTCAAGGGGCTTACAAGGAATCTATAGGGATCTATATTAGGGCTTCATGGCTTTCAGGTTTAGGGTTCAAGGGTTCAGGGTTTGATGGTATAGGGTTTCAGGGTTTAGACTCTAGGGCTTGGCGTTCAGGGTTTGGGGTTTAGGGTTTTGGGGTTTAGGGCTTAGTAGGATTTAGAGTTCAGGGTTTAGGGTTTAGGGTTTAGGGTTAGGGCTTAAGGTTCAGGTCCTACGGTCTTAGGGCTTTCCAGGGCTTAACGGGCTTGGGGCTTCAAGGTTTATAGTTGGGGACACCTAAACCCTAAACCCATGTAAACCTAGCTCATAGAGGAGCCTTTACGGGGGCAATCGGCTTCGTGCTATTTGTGAGTTGCTCCCTGAACTTCTATAAATCAGCTGCGGTCGTATGAAGTAAGGCTTTTACTGCGAAAGTGCATCCACGAATCTACCCGAAATCCGAAATAGACGCCAACAACTACTCAAAGGGAGCTCTCTACCCTACAATACCCTAAACCCTCAAAACTCTGAGCCCTACTCCCTGTTCCAAGCCCTTAAGAGTGGCCCTTGCGTTCCCGGAGGCCCAGGAGTCCGAAGTAGTCAGGCCCTCAAGCCCGAAGCCCTGATCCTAATCCCTAAACTCTTTAAACCCTAAACCCTAAGAGACCCCGTTTAGGGGGTTGAGGGGTTTAGGGTTTAGGGTTTGGGGTTTAGGGTTTAGGGTTTGGGGTTTAGGGGTTTGGGGGTTGAGGGTTTAGGGGTTGAGGGTTTAGGGTTTGCCAATGCCAAGCTTCCACAGGACCGTGGCAACTGCTGCGATCACCAAGGTGTAGAGCAGCGCAGACAGCGGCTTCTTGCACATGAGAGCTCTCCCATGCCCTAGCTAAACCCGAAACCCTAAACCCCAACTCGAAACCCTAAACCCCTAAACCCTAAACCCTCCCTAAACCCCAAAACCTAATCCCTCATCCCTAAACCCTAAACCCTAAACCCTAATCCCTCGACAGAGTGGAACCGATTAGAGTCAGAGAGCCACCTATGTAAGCTATCCACGTAACATAAGGGTCTCAACACTAGATTTGGTTCTGGGTTTAGGGTTTATTCAGGGTTTAGGGTTTAGGGCTTAAGGTTTAGGGCATTTTGGGTATTTTGATCTGATGAAAGAAGTCATCTCCTCCGAGCCCTCCATGATGGAGTCTTGTGTCGAAGCGCGTCTTGAGGTTCAGGGTGCTGGCACCAGTTTGAGGCTCAGGTGTTCGAGTTTAGGGCTTAGGGTTTTAGGGGAGTTTACAGTGTAGGGAGTACCTAAGCCCTAAACCCTAAACCAGGAAACTCGACAACCTCACCCTAAACCCTAAACCTAATCCTAAACCCGAAACCCTAAACCCTAAACCCAGGAAACATAGCTTGAGCCTCTCAAATTTCGCTCAGAAACCTGGCGAAATCAAACTCCCATCCACGGAGCCCCTCAATTGCTAGACCCTCATAGCCCGAAACTCTGAAACACTGAAACCCGTGAACCCTTAAACCCCCGAACCTCCCAGTCCCAGACCACTACTATACTCTCTTACACTTTCGAATCCAGTTGATTCATCTGACTGGCGGCCGAAATCCCAACCACAAGTCAAGTGCCTCGGGGTCAAATGTCAGGCCCTTTTTGGGTTTAACCATGAAGAATACTATGTTATGGCCACGATGGAGAAACCGAACGAGGGTCATTGCTACATAATTCCTCAGGCCCCGATATGGGTTTAGGCATCTTTGGCGCTGGCAGAAAACTAGAACCTTGTCAGCTTATGCCCTAAACCCTAAACCCTAAACCCTAAACCCTAATCCCTAAACCCTAAACCCTAAACCCTAAACCATAAACCCTAAACCCTATGCCCTAAATGGCCCTTGGCAAGGACGGATATGAAGACGATGCTGGGGTCTGAGCTCTAAGATGACTCGCCTGGAGGCTCAGAGGCTTCGGGCTTTAGGGTTTAGG